GCTGCACACTTCCCGCCCTGTGCATACCTTAGCCGCACCCTGTGTTGTCCAGTGTAATTTTTGGTTCGTGTGGCATATGCTGCTATAACATTTCGTTGTTGTTGCTGTTGCTGTTGCTGTTGCAGATGCTGTTGCTGGTGCTGGTGTGTCAGTTGCACGATTGCCAGAGAGACAACGTGTCTCCAGTGTCATCAGCATCTCCATTTTTCATCTGTTTTCTGTTGTTGTTGTTTTTTTTTTTTTTTTTTTTTTTTTTTTTTTTTTTGTGACTGCTGCCACTGGAGCTAGGAGCTGGGACCTGGGAGCAGTTGCAGGCGACGCTGCCCGTTGTTATAGTGCAGAAAAATTACTATGACAACGCTGGAAACAAGTAAACCACAGTTTACATTCACTCAATTTGGTGCGACAAGGCAGGCAGCGGTGCAGCGGTGCAGCGGCGCAGCGGGTGGGGGACTGGGTGGGGCAGAAGGGGGCTGGCAGTGTGGCAATGGCAGAATCGTGGCGTGGTGGTGGCACGCTCATCTTCAATTTTTCTACGACGTCGTCGTCGTCGTCTTTGGGCTTTGGGTCGGGCTCACACTCGCATCACGGCCTTACCCCCGCTGCATCCACGACTAGGCTGGGTTCACTTGGGCCCGGGTTGAGTTGGAGTTGGAGGCGTTTGGTGGGCAGGCAGGCAGTCGGTACGCCGATCTGCGCAGCAAGATGAGTGGTTGGCAAAAATGTTTGAATGCGATCACGAACTTGACCTTTCACATAACCTCAAAAAGGCAGTCACTCAGTCAACTGGAGTCCAAGTCAACGCGAACGAGCCGAGCGACAAGCGCGTTACATACGCGCCATGTTAAACAGACAGAACTTGGACCTGTGCCCAGTTGCCAGTCCCCAGTCCCCAGTCCCCAGTCCCCAATCCCCAGTGCCTCCGACTGGGTGTCAGCCGACAGCCAACAGCTCAGCACCGCTCATCTCCGCTCGGGCATAATTAAAAAACAATCGCATTGTGCGGGCCAGGCAAATGAATTCTCTGCGAGCTGCATTCAGAGTCAAGGAGCGGCCGCTGCCTGCAGTTATGAAAGATTTGCCATCTCTTAAAGAGAGACAGGGTGAGAGAGAGAGGTTGGGGTCTATCGCTCGAGATGCCAAAATCAGCAGCAGCCGCATCGATGAAGTGCAGCAACGGTAACACAACGAAACTTGCATATCATTCAATGCTCTGCTGCTCGCTAGAGTGCTGCACCATGTTGCAAGTTGCCCCTTACCCGCTGCCCGTTGCCCCGTCTTTAAGGTCCTTTGCTTTGGCAACGACCCGCGTGTCGCCGCATCTACTTAACCTGAAAGCCTATGCCCCCAAGTGCCGAGCCAGCCGCGCAGAGGAGCAGTCCGAGGCGCGGAGTCTCAGGCTGGGAGACTTGGGCTGAGACACCGACCAACGCCTGCACCGGCTCCCACCTCTCATCCAGCCCCAACTCTGCCGAGCTGTGCCGTGCTCTGTGCTCAGTGCGGCTAGTTCAACAGCTTTATTTATGGGCTGTTTGAGTAGCTTAAATAAATCAAGTTGTAGTTGTTTCGCTTTAGCTGCAACGCTTCCCAGCCTGCAATTAGACTTGGTGGGAATTCGCACTCGACTGTCGGGGATTCGGCAGACAGCCTTTTTTATTTGGCAGTTTTTTGGCTGAATTTGGCTATACCCTGGCCAGCTTGCTCTGCAAGGCTGACTAGATGATGAACGGATATTCCAATATCATTTAACTGCCATCTTTTACCTAGAATAACCAGAACATACACTATTTAAATACAAATCGATAGATTTTTGTTTTTATTTTTAACCTTTCTTGAGGAAAAATAACCATGCAAATATTAGTAACACTAATCTTGGTTACTCCTAAATAAGCTGACATTATATATTGCAAGATCTTTGCCCAATAGAGGGTATATTGTGGGCACCCACTTCTTTTGCTAGGCATTTTCCAGCTTGTTGTCTTTTCTCCGCTTCATTCGATTCATTCGCAGTTCGGGGCTATCGGCTATCAGCTATCGGCTATCGGCTATCGTGGCCGCTGCCTAATTGCATAATTATTTAAAAGCCATAATTTATGTGGCCAAATAGTCAAGTGTTTACACATATTCGCATGTGTATACGAGTTTACATATGGTATATAAGCATATATACAGCGTAGGGCAATGCTGAATGACCGTTAAACTTGAAAATTAAGACGGGGTCTCCCATTATGTGCCGTTTGTTTTACAAATTTTAACGCTATTTAACACATTTGCCACAGATCAGCAGACAACTCGCGCGCTGTGGTAGCACGCCACAAAGCCGAAGAGGAAACCCATTAAGAGCGAGCGACTGAATGGGCCTCTCTCTGCGCGTCTCGATAGCCCGAGCATATTGACAAAATTAATGATGCCCTCACTAATATCATGCCTAATTGATTAATATGCGCAACTGCCGACTGCCACTCTGACTTTATACTTTATATAT